AAGTTCAAAGCTGCAGTGGCTGATAGTCGATTGTCACTAAGGTGATAATCGATTATCACCCAGCTAAAGTCTAGCCAGCTGAAACCCGTTTTGAAAAACCGAGGTCCAAAAACGAAGCGTTCCCAAAAGTAAAAACCAAGTTTGAAAAACATTGTATATGGTATAAAATAGTGAAAACAAGACTTGTTTGGTAAAAACCAAGTCCTCAAGGTCGTAAATCACGTGCGTACGGTTTTGACCGTTTTTCACGTGTTTAGACCGATTGACCAAGATACAAAGGTGGTTTTTACAAAATAATTATTCGGGAACCTTTAAAATATGCTCAGAGATAAAAACAGGGTTTAAAATATTGAAAACCACGGAGTTGGTTCAGGCGCCAAAAAACCGAATGCCGAAAACCGAACGACGAAAGCCGAACGCCGACTTAGGTGGTTTTGGTTCTGAGCAAGGACCAGGGATAAAAGAAGTCATCAAAAAAATGTTTGTTTTGATGCACAAAAAATGTTTTATGGTTTCTAAAAATTGTTTTGACTTTTTGAGAACCGAGACTTGAATAAATTGTCGGTTTTGATCACAAAAGACCGACTCGACTAAGTCTTCAATTCTTGATCTTGTCCTTGAGTCTTTTAGGTCTTGTTCCAAGCCATTCTTCACGCCTTGAGTTATTCAACGAAACTCTTCATATCCACGGCGGTTTGGCAATTATCAAAATCTGTCAGAAATGAACACGACTTTAGTTTAACGTGCAAAGTGTGTTCCAACAGTTGACAGAGCACCATAGCCCGTTTCCTTCACTCCATGAGTTTCAATTCTTTCTAATTTTTCAGATTCGCACATGTAATATACCAAATTGTAGCACTGCATCAGCACTAACCTCCCTCTCCAATTTTTTAGGATCACTAATGTCTAATTCCAATTTGCAGAATTAGTGAATCAGGGACTGGGTTGTATTTACGAAGTTATAAATGTTGTGGTTCTGTTGGAGATGGCAGTTCATAGGTGATGTCGTGTTCTTCAAAATCCTAATTTTTTTTTGGTTTTTTGTGATGCCTGGATTCTACTAACATACATTTTTTAGGATATTTCACTTGGCTGTGGGTCCTATGTTTTTGGATTATTTCATTCTAGCCATTTTATCCCCTGCCATAGACTCACAACCACTTTTTTTTATAATGTAGGCAGATCGAAATACATGACACTATTTTCAAACCAAACAAGCAAGATTTGGGCTTTGACGGAAGGTAATGTTGTGTCATGACAACTATGAATGGACAGTGTAATGTAGACACATATTGATAAACAACACAAATAAATTTGAATATGGCGTATATGTGTTGTTTGCTGATAATATTGCATTGCCATTCATTATTGTTTTTGATATGGAACAAGATACATCTATTGCAATTTCTTTTGATGATATTCTTGAAGGACAAATAGTTCATTGATGGAAAGAACATTACGTGAACAATACTAAATTCTAGCCATTAACCCACTGCTGCTCATTTTTTGATGGAAAGAACATTATGTGAATCCATTTGGTGGAAACACATTATTATCTATATATACATATATGTTGTTTTGTCTTATGATCATCATCTTACTGCCAATGCAACTATAAACACCCTTCTTCATCTTTGTAATACGATAGTTGCAATCCCTAGGGGACTCCATGACATGGAGTAGAACGCTCAGTGTAGAAAATCAAGAGTGAGAGAGAAATACGAAAATCTAGATCAATGTTCATGATAAATTTGTGTTCTTCTAATTGTTTTTATGTTTAAAAATCGTTTAGCAGGTACGCCTCTCAGCCAGCGTATTAAGGAAGCTTCTCTAAAAATTTCCGCCAATGTATCAGGTACGCCAATGGAGCTATGTAAATAAGTAAAGGATTGTTTTCTTAGTATTATCCCAAGATTTTCAGATGGACAATCATTATGTTTCTTCTAATGTGTTCTAAAGTGGTTTGCTATGAATGGAAGAAGAAACATACAACCTCCAATCTCATAAAAGCAATAGGGAGATCTTCTGGTGCCGTCAGTAGGTCATAAAGCCGTTGCACCAGAGAGGCTTTTTCCTGTCCTCTAGGCTTATGAAATGGGTGAGTCTTCTTCCTCAAATTGTTCTTCTTCCTTAAATCGTTCAACCCTTTAAGGAAATGCTTGATTTTTCCTGAGTGATTTCTAGCATTAGGGTTGAATTGCAGCCGCCACTATAATAGGTGGATGAGATGGTTGTGGTTGTATTCCATACTCCGGAATTTCAGATTCATCAAAAAAGGCTGCTGCATCTGTTAATTGCAGAACCTTAATTAACATTTGAGAGTGAGCTATGAATCGAAGTTAGGTTCATATTTATCTCATATTTATTGTGAATAAATGACTCGGGTCCTTAAGGGTCGTTTTGCTAAAACTATTGAAAGAAAATACGTAATTTCTGAGGTTTTTTTGCATATGCAGTGTGTAAGACCTGGTGGTGGAATTCAATAAATTCGCCTAGACAATGTATTGGGCAGTGGTGTTATTGGGTCTTTTCCGCGAGGTAATAATCTATTAGAGGGGCCTGAGGTTGTGAATGTTGGGTGTATGTTGATTTTGACCTCCCCAGTTGGGAAAGTGACAAAAGTGGCTGCAGAAATTGCAGTGGAAGAGGTAAATAATTGGCATTTCTCTCTTTTATTTAAGCTTGATAATGGTTCTGAAATGGTATGTTTGCTTTAGCAAATTCATTGACATGTCTTTTGATACTTTATGTTTTTTTTAATTGGGTAAAAAGGCATATCTCTTTGGGTTTAGTATATTTTTTAGACCAGGGTTCAACTTGAATCTTTGTAGCAGTGGTCTGAATATGGACTGTTGTCCAATATGGTAGGTGATGTATAATCTTTCAAATAGGTATGACTGCGCCTGATGAATGTACAATTTTTCGCACTGAGACAATCATTTAATTTTATGCTATACTTCATGGAGGAGCAACATTAAACCTCAAGTGAATTACTATCTCAAAGATATGTCTTTGCAATTTTAGTGATGCTTACCATGTGTACGTCATTACAAGTTGAATTAACTATATTAAAGTTATTAAGGATTGAATTTATGTTCTTGCTTTTTTTACGGAGTATATTCAAATTATTTCATACTTACATTGCAAGTAAAAATTTTTGGGTCAAGTACGTAATTTTATCAATTTGAGCTTATCGAGAAAATCTGGTCGGTGATTTTGAAGGGGTAATTTTAATGAGTAGTGCTTCCATGATTTTAAGGTCTACATATGAAATATTGAGGAATTTACATTTTTCATGGGCTGACATGAAAATCTTTTACGAGTTTTTTTCATAAGAGCTCAATTCATCAAAGGCTTTTATATTCTAAGGTCTATAAAATGAGTGTAACCTTAAAACCACAGAAGAATTTGCTAACGTTGTTGAGCTTTCTTATGTAATCTATAAAAGAGTAATTTTTTTGGATGCAATTTTATTAGCAAGTGGTGTTTACATGAAGCTATACATATATTTCACTTCAGGATTAGCATGTTTAACTTATTTTTTCCGTTTTCAAGTTAAACAAAGTACCCGATGTGTTGTTTGAACAAAAGATGCAAACTTGAAACTTTTGGTAATGTGTTTGATCATTGTTAGAATTATTTGATTTGGCCGGTATTGATGTGTTTCATTTTGTTCCCTTCCTTTTGTGGCAGCCAAAGGAGTGATGGGTAGCAGTTCTCATATTGATTAAAGCGGGCTTTCAGTTGAAAAGAATGGTTTGTTTTGTTGTTCCCCCTTTTTCTTTGTGTTTTTAAAAATGTAAGGACAAACAAACGGCAAGAACTGCAGTTGATGCTACTCCTGATGGAATGAGCATAGGGCAAAACACTCCACCAAAAATGGAAGCTTGGGGAGAAAACTCATCATTTGAATCCTAAAATTGAAGATGACCATGATCTGGATTGGGAAGATGGGTCAATTCCTAATTCAAATTTAGAAAATAATGGAGTAAGGGTTGAATTTGAAGTTCCTGAAGATGCTTCCAAGCATCTCAAGACTGCGCGTCGTGCCACTGCTGAAGAAAAGGTTGATTAAAATACTTTTTTCTCTTAACACTCAGTCACGCACTTGGTGTCGTTCGATTATTGGTAACTTTAATATGGTCAATGTCAGGATTTGGCTGAGCTCATACATAAGATTCATTTGCTTTGTTTGCTTGGGGGGGGGGGGGGGG